ATAATAAAATATAAAATGGAAGAAAGTAATAATACAATAATAAAATAAAAAAATAAAATAAAAATAACATAATAAAAAATAAGTAAAATAAAATAAAAATATATAAAAAATAAAGTATAAAATTAAAATTAAAAACAATAAAATATAAAATAATAATAAAATAAAATATAAAATGGAAGAAAATAATAATACAATAAAATAAATAAAATAAAAATAAATAAAAATAAAATAAAATAAAAAAGTAAAATAAAATAAAAATAAGTAAAATAAAATAAAAATATATAAAAAAATAAAGTATAAAATAAAATAAAAAATAAAAATAAACTAATAATGTAATAAAATATAAAATGGAAGAAAGTAATAATAAAATAGTAAAATAAAGTAAATGCTATCACCTGAGGCTAAGCGATCTTAGAAAAAAATAAAACAAACATATTTTGCCACCTGCTGCCAAGTGATTGGGGGGGGAGTATATATAAACAAACAATTGCTACCCCCCAGTTCCAAATGACCTTGGGATGGGGGGAGCAGGACATTGATCTCCTCTAAGGATCTATTTAAAGGAGACAAGAAGCCTCCTGATTAGACGGCGTTGATTTCCGGAGGCCTTAAATGATCACTCTTTTCTTAGCCTCTCCCCCCCCCCCCCTAACCTCCCCACTTGCTTTTACTGGCTCTACAAGCTTAACTCAGGTCGATAAATGGGAGGATTTGGCCTCGCAGCCAGCCACCCCATTTGCAAGGCAGAAGTCAATTCGCCTCCCGTGGAAGGGAGGGGAGCCTCACCAGGTCTTCCCAAAACACCCCCAGCCGGCTGACAGCCGCTCACAAAACTTTTCCTTGGCAGCCAAAGACCGAAGCACCACTGGGAGACCATCAAGTCCCCGCAGCAAGTGTGGGTTGGCAGCAAAGGGGTGGGGGAGAGGGAGCTGGCTGAAAAGGCCCACCTTGCCCCCGAGCAGGGTGGGTTTGATTTAAATCGGCTCGATTTAAAAGGCTTGATTGAAACCCACTCGATTGAAATCGTAATTTTTAAAGGGCAACGGTCATCTCTGTCCCGCAGTTGACTCACCGAGAGTCCCAATATTGCAGAATATCTACAGCCTCAGGCTACATAACTAAGCTCCGTTTCAGGCTGAATAAACTAAATTACGGATGTATCTTCAATTTTTTTAAAACTATCTTTAGATAGATTTTATTTTTAACTCCAAAAGCATTGCGTTAAAATAAACCTGATAAAAATCAGAAAAAAATCCGATTTAAATCAAACAAATCCNGACAATAATTCCCAGAATTCCCCAGGTAGCATCCTTAAGATGGACAGACTATAATTCCCAGAATTCCCCAGCCAGCATGCTTTAAGATGGACAATAATTCCCAGAATTCCCCAGGTAGCATCCTTAAGATGGACAGACTATAATTCCCAGAATTCCCCAGCCAGCATGCTTTAAGATGGACAGACTATAATTCCCAGAGTCTCCCAGCTAGCTTGCTGACCGCACGAACCAATTCTACTTTATGCTAAGGCTACATTAACACAGCCTTGCTCGCTTGACAGTGCAAAACTCCTCCTCTCTCTTTTATACCCCCGAAAAACTAGAGACGGTTCCTTCTGTGATTCTTTCTCCATCCGTTATACAGCTGGGGCTCAGCCGTCTCTTATCTGACGGTTCCCCAGGTACCTACACCATCTTCCAAGGCCATTTTACTACGTAGATCATTCTACTTTACTGTAAGCCTACTATAAAACAGAAGCTTGCGGGTCTGAAAACGCACATCTCCCGCCATCTCTTTTACAGCCTGAGAAATTCCTTTTCCACCCGTTATGCAGCTGAGGGCTATGCTGTCTCTTATCTAATTACAATGACTTAACAGCAGCACAGATAAAACACCAGGCGGCTCTCAAAGGGAAGGGGGGGGCCTTCCTCTTTTCTTTTTACCGGCAGACAGCAAAGAGGCCAAACCCCCCAAATATCAACCCCGCACTGGCCTTCAGCGGCAAACGACCTGGTCCGGGAGCAGCTTAAGAGAGAACCTGCAATTCTCGTCACTCGCGAAGAGCGGCAGCCTGAATTTTCCCAAGCAGGATATGCCAGCGAGCACATTCCTGGGTGAGTCTGAATCCGAGGGGGAGGGGATTTCGTTCTCCAACAGGGGTGGGGAAAAAATCAGGTACCAATTTTAAAATCTTCCCTGCAACAGGGAAAATGTTGGGCAGCCCCAAAACCGAAAGCAATAATATGCTTCCTCCCTGGTTGCGCGTCGCGCGGGACGGGCCTGGAAGCTCGGAGGGCAGCAGTCTTTCGGACATCAGCACTTTCTTGACGGACGAGAGCGACAGGTTAACGCTGAGCAGCGTGGAGACCGGACAACAAGAGGGAGCGACTCCGGGGTCAAGCCAGGCTGCTGAAAACCGTCGCCTGGGGAGCACCCCTCGGCGGAGTCTAACCGCCAAACTGCAGCAGTTTCTGTCCCCCATCAAACGACCTTCCATGAAGCACGGTTCCAGCGGGGAGGTCTCCCATGGGCGCGGCGGATCTGAGCACCGAGAACACCCCTCTCGCCAGAGTCCGCTGGAGGGACACTTGCTGCTTCCCCCGGAGCGTCCAAGATCCACAGCCTCGGAGGTCGGTATTCCTGTGCAGGACGAGTCTTCCCAATTCTTTCTCGCGATCCTTTTTCTCGACTCAACCCACTTCTTTCCTACCACAGAGTTCGGCCTCTCTGGGTAGCGAGTACGATCTCTCGGATACGTCCGTGTGTAGTTACAATCTCCGGAAATCCAGCGATCGGTTGTCGGAGCCTCCGGCAGTTGAGGTACTTTTTCCGCGCCGTCTGCCGTGTGTCTATCCGGGAGTCCTTGTCCCGTCCCCACCGTTTTCCCCTCACAGAACAATTATCCTGTCCTTTCAGGTGTTCCTTTCCAGCTGCTCGCGATGCGAGGCTTGCAGCTCGCTGGTGTACGACGAAGAGGTGATGGCTGGGTGGAGTTCGGACGACTCCAACCTGAACACCACTTGCCCCTTCTGCGGGCGTCTCTTCGTGCCCTTCCTCAGCATCGAGATCCAAGATTTCCAAACGGTTTCTCTCAGGTCCGAGTGCCGATTATTGTTTATTATTTACTGTCCCTGCCTCCAGCATGTTCATCTTATTATTTCCCCCACTGTCCGAGCACCAAGGGACCATCCTTAACCTCATCATTGTCAGGGTTCCAAATAGCATCCAAAAATAAATCAAGAGTCCTAGACAGTATTGCTTAAAGTTCCAATTGATTAAGAGAGCCATGTTGGCACATCTGGGAAAACCCAAATCTGAAAGCTTCCCAGTTGAAAGTTCGAGATCTTGCCCCCACATCCACAAGTCCATCCCATGGTCCAATCGTCCACTGTCACGTTGGCAGTTTCCACCCATCCAGTTCCGGTCAGGTGCAGAGGTTCAGAGACAAAGGCTGACCTTGGGTTTCTAGAAAGAATTTTGTTTTGGCTCCCTATCGTCTTAACGCCGTACAATCCCCCCCCCCTCCCATTTTCCCCCCATAGAAAAGGCATAGTAGAATAATAGAAAGC